TGAATAAGGAACGTATTACCCATATAAGCTTACACTACAGTTTGGAATCGCTTCTCATAATAATTATTGATGCTATTTTATTCAGTGATATCTTGAATCGTGTTAATTAGAACGCTATGAACTAGACACTAGAAGGCACAGTCGTAGCAAAAGTTAAGGCACCCCTCATCAAATGACTTGTTTTGTTGATTTTCTAAGTGAAGAGAAGTTAACACATCCTCTACAGAGAACACACTTCCACACTTTTTAATAAACTATTACTGCCTATTTGCTGAATTTAACATTTAAATAAATAAATAAATAAATAAATAAATAAATAAACAAATGAATAAATGAATGAATGAATGAATAAACATGACCTGTGCAAAAGTTATGGCACATTATATACTTTATATGTTATTATTTCCAATATGTTAAGCTCCATATATTTCCAAAATGTTTAGCTTTATAAATAAATAAATAAATAAATAAATAAATAAAACTATAATATGCAGATAAGGGCCTTATTTAAGTTGGTTCTGGTAGAAGGTGTGTTAACATATTTTCATACCAACATATTTGGAAAATCAACAAAACATGTATTTTAGATGTTTCATTCACTATTTCCACCTTTCTGGAATACCAATAATTGAATAAGTGATTAATAATGTACTTTAATTTTGTATGTACCGGCATCTCTTGATAAGTCAATTTTCTTATAACTTCACTTATCTTCATTGTCATTGTTATACAGCTTTCATGATCACTATGTAATCTACAGCTGTGTTCATCATTCTGAAGACACCTACATTTTTACAGCTTCCTAGTTGAAACCTGTGAAGTTGTAAAGTGGTATTCATATTATAATCATTTTTATATCTGTATCTCCAACAAATTGGTTTTATTTTACTGAAAAAGTGATTCCATCATTGAATTGTGGACCAGGTAATAACCTGAGATCAGATAACGATGACTGTAAGGTAACTTCTCTTAATTGAGTGAGTCATGATGGCCTTCAAGTGACCTCTCTCATCATTAGCTTGACTTAACAGCAAGTCCAACAGCTTATCTGATTGCTACAACAGCAAAAATGTTCAGCACCAGATCCAGCATTTTACCAATATTACCAGTATTCATAGCTGAATCCAGCAGGCAAAAAATCTCTGTAGAATGTAGTTATGCAAATAATAACTGTGCGGAGTGCTGCTAGGCTATGTAATATAATATATGTAATATAGTTTCCTCTGTGGTTCCTTTTTGAGAAAATGCACATATCTCAAATATCACAACACTGAAACTCAGGCATTCATGTAGCCCTGCACTTAAAGGGCTTTTATTCAGTAGGGCTCAGGCATAAGAACTACTGACAGTCAACTTGTTGGAACTAAAAAGATCAAGTATCAATAAGGTTTGGCTCAATTTAATCACATCATTTCCATTAATAAACATTTAATTGGCTAAGGCATTTACACAGAGTTTTGCTCTCACAAATGAAAGAGAGAGGAAGAAAGAAAAAGCTGCAACTTTATATCTAACACCTACTGAATAACATTTTTTAATGCTTATACAGCTATAATTTTTTTTGAGGATGAATGGTGGGTCCTTGGAAGCGTTTCCTAACAGCAAGAATGATTCATTGAAAAGCAGTACAGTCACTTTGTGTATTCTGTTTTGGTTTCAATTGAAAAATAGTGTCCATTCCACCCACTATGAGTTCCTCTGGGCTTCTGCAAACAGAACTTGATGAGTCTGAGCCAACAGGAACATCAAGAAGGTGCCTGAATGATGACAATATTTGAAGAGCCTCTAAAATTGTTCTCACTTTGTTGAAAAAAAGAAGTCGATGTGCAATGTAAGCATTGTTGAAGTCTAGAAATGTGCCATTACAGTGCACGTATGAAAATTAAGCTACACACCCATTCCATTTTAAATTCATCATATGTGTGATGTCACAACCAAGACTAATTTACATATGACCACATATTCAACCTACAGCGGTGCACTGTCATTTTACTTAGCTTTATTCCAGACAGTCAGAACAGAGAACATTTATGTAGCATTGCTGTTTGAACAACACTGTGTATTTATTTATATATGGAAAGCACCAGCTGTGTTTTACAGTTTGGACTGACAGAAATGATCCAAAGTTACATTGAACAAAACTATTACATTCATTTACATTAAAAGTTAAGAACGTTTTCCCTTCTTTTGAAAAGTTAACACTTTTGGAGATATAAAGTTTTGTTCTGACAGTGATGATATATGGGTCTTTGGTCCATGACACAGTAACAATTTGCCTCTCTAACCCTGTGTTCACATTAGCAGGACATAGAGTGACAGATAAGCAGTTATTTCATATGGGAAAGTAGAATTTGTAGACGAGTTTAGTGATGAACAGCAAGCCACACAGCAGTAGGGCAACAAGTGACAAATCAAGTTGAAATTTTCTTAACTTTATGCCAATTAGGTATGACAGTGAAGGGCCAGTCTAAACAATTGGCTCCAACAAACTCCTTGGGCAAGTTGTAGACACAGGTGTTAGAGTTCTCAAGCCATGGCCCTCTGCTTTACGTTCCTGTTTCCAATAGTATTGCACAAACATTGAAGAGAAACTTTTAACCTTATACTGTGGTTCATACTTTAAATAAAATAGTGATGCATACATAGTAGATGTTTTTTACATTTTCTTATCAGGAACTGGACAGTGTACATACAAGAGCAGCCTCGATACACACCCACAAGAGACAGACTTCAGGTGACATTAGCTTAACTTATGGTTAGGCATAAAGAGAGTTTAGAAAGTCATCATGTGAAAATGAGTTATGCCTGTTTATGGACAGATTAAGGACAGAGGTGTTTATTTATTTAGGGAATATAAGAAAGTAAGATATGAGACAAATGTACAACATAGTGCCTTTAATTAAAGTTCAGAAGGAGCATATTCAAATTACGTATTCATTCATCTCAAAAACACTGCAGTGAGTATTTAAGAAGCTTCACCTACTTTGATAATTCTTCTGATGTTCCACTTCTATCTACCTGCTACAAAAATGAGAATATATCTATATCTATCTATTTATATTTATCTATCTGTCTATCTATCTCTGTATGTGTATATATATATATATATATATATATATATATAGATACACAGAGATAGATAGATAGATATAGATATATTCTCATTTTTGTACTTTGTAGATTGTTGATTAAAACATTTTTTATCTGAATCATTGATCTTTTGCTTTATCAAATTTTCAAATTATGCATAATTTGAATGTAAATTAATTCAGCTCTGTTCAGGAAATTTTTTATTGTGTTACAACTATTGTAGTTGCATCTAATGCAAATGAAGCCTCATTTCAAAAGGATTTAAAATTAAAATGCCTGAAAGTTTTTTTTCCTTGACATCTTTCATTTTGATGTTTTTATTTATTTAACCTTTGAGGTTTTACACAGGCATTTTAATGTAGTTTAAGATGAAATAAAAAAAGCACTAATTAAGACTTTTCATTTGATAATCTTCAATAGTTTCTCCAGAAGCTATGGCCCAGTGATTAATTGCTGCAGTAGCACTTATTTAGACATTATTTTTTCACTTATAACATTTTTGTATATTATAGATAAATAGACACATTGATGGATGGAGGGAGGGATGGATGAATGGATGGATGGATAGATAGAACTTTATTCATCCTGAGGTAAATTGTGTTGTTACAACAGCAAGAACAACACAAACACATATAATATGAATAAAAGATCTCAGCTTCTGTATCTGTGTGTTAACTTAGGTTGCTGAACATTGTGGTTTAGGACACGGTTTGAGGACTGAAATGTGCTGCTGACAAAGTAGGTTACTGGATAAAGTGCAATATGACCTTACATTAATATCTTTCTTAAAGTACTGAATGTGGATGAGTCTTGTTTGGCCAGTATATGACCTGGTACAATTAACTCTTACAAACTCATCACCAAGCCTGTATCCGCAGTATTCAGAATGTCTTCAAGTTATTGCCACGCCTCCCTCTGGCCCGGCAGAAACGACAGCCAACGCGGCCGCCTCGGACTACAATTACCAGAACCCCTCGCTCTATCACATGACTAATGACTCATTCAGATCCGCCTATCAACGCTCAGCTTCTTCGGACTTCTAAATCACTTACACCTGTTTCTCTGTGTATTAATCAGTCTGTTTACACCCACACTTTGCGAAGGATCCGCACCTTGTTGTGCATACCGAGCGGTTCCTTCTTGTCTGTTTAACCGTTTACGTGTATGAGCTGTTTTCCGTTCATGATCTTGCTTTTTGTCTTGCCCCTTTGCTCAGTTTTGGATCTCTGGTTTGTTTTGACTGGGGTTTGGATCCCTTTGGCATTAAAGCTCGTAAATCAGGCCTCGCCTGCGAGCGTCTGGTTCCGTCTGCCACCGTTACAGTTGTCTGCCTCTAGATTTGGGCACCAATACAAGGCAATCTAAATATTGTTTTTATTATTATTATATTATTAATAACATAATTCTTGATATTGTTGATTATTTAGGGTAATCTACAGCTCCATTCATCATTCTGCACATTCTTGAAATCAGTTATCTTTTATATATTATAATACATTTCTTATTTATTTATTTCTATTTTTACAACTTTCTAATATCTTACTAAATATATGTAATTGTGTGCTTGTTTGTTTGTTTGTTTTGTATATTTATGTAGTTTTTGTTGTAATGTTTAGATTTATGTTGATGTAGAAAGTTGAATTTTGAGCATATGTAGTTCTATAGAATCTTTGAAAGTGAATTCTTGTAGAATTTTTTAACTCTGCATTTAATTTTAAACAGATATATCTGTTTACATTTTATTGAGAAATGGAGAAAAGATGTATTAAGGGCAAAAATATATAAACATTTCTTTTTCCTCTTTTGAGTACTGTAAGGCCTGTAGAGATGAAGCAGTTCATCTGAATACTAAAACCAGAGTGTCCTTCATTGACCTGCTGTGTGGTTGTTTGTGGCTCTGTGTTTTGCAGGATGTGCCTTTCTAACTTACTGTGCCAGGGAGTCTGCACTGAAGGCTCAGAGTGCTCTTCATGAACAGAAGACTCTGCCTGGGGTACGTTCCCTCTCTTTTTCTTTTTTCTCTCTCTTTCTTTTGGTGCTCTCTCTCTCTCTCTCTCTCTCTCTCTCTCTCTCTCTCTCTCCCCGCATTGAGCCCTTAATAATCAAATGGGTTCCAACCCAAAAACAAATAATATCCACTGCGGGTCTGTGTTGTTGGAGTTGATTGAACATGTGCTGTGCCTGTTCGGTCTCTGTGCTGTCTGATCTTGCTATTCTCTTTAATGATTCTCCATTAGGACTCGCCTGTTCTTCATGCAGGCCTGGGTAGTGGGAGTTGTGCTGCTGCTACAAACTCACAGCATTTCAAAACACACTGAGCTGGATTTTAGCTGAAAACAGTCCTCATTACCTCACTTTGCTAGCAAATCAAGACTTTATCCCATTTGCTCTGTCCACCTCATTTTTGACACAAATTATAGAAATACAACAAAATATATTTTAAGCAAACTGGATTAGTTTTATCTGAAGAAGTTCAGTAACATATACAATTTTACTGGTCAGTTGGTACAGAATAAAGTATCTTCCTAATTTCCCCAAAGTCCAGATTCTCAAATTCTTATAGGTAGTTCTCACTGAAAGGTCATAGAAAAGGTCATGTCAGCATTACGTTAAAGGACACACTCAATAACAGTAACAACACACATGTCTTACATGTATTACACATTGTAAAAAATAATGATTCAGTGTTTTAACTTTAAAAAGTAAGTAATCTGGTTCTCTTACAGTTTTAAAGTTTATTGAACTTCAAAAAGTAAGTTAACAGAACGTATAGCACACATTATTGTTCTGAGAACTTGCTATAAGATGTGTAATGAACTCAAAATTTTAAAGCAGTCAGGTTACTGGGTAACACTTAACAGATTATCAGTAACACATCAACAACATATCAGTGAAGCGTCTGAATACATTGAAGTAAAAATCTTGTAGATGTTCTGTTGATACATTACTTACATTAAGTAGATGTATTGTTAATGTTACATTCATTACACAAAACCTAACCTTACTCAACCCCTAATCTTAATCCTAACCCTAACCTTAACCTCAACCCAAATCCTAATCCTAACCCCTCTATGTTTTTAACATGTTACTGAGAGTCCGTTGAGTGTTTGTTTCATCTAAAAAGGACCACTCAAACTAAAGTGTCACCAGTTACTGCCACAATTTTTTACAGTGCAGAAACCTGTTCTCTCTGAAGTGCAGATTCGTACAGAGTTAATTTCATAAAACTCTTTGGAAGAGCTGACTAATAATACAAACTATTGAAATATAACAAAATATATTAAGCAAGCTGGATTCACTTTACCAAAAGTTTAATGATGTACAGGATTTGACTGGCTAATTGATAGTATGAGAGAAAGTATTGTAGAAATTCCCCAGATTCTCACAGATAGCCTGGACTGAAAGGTCATAGTCATCATTACACCACAGGACACACTCAATAACAATAACAGCACACATGGTCAAGTTCTACCATGGCTGAATAGGTTATTCATCACTTGAGTAGCTTTTTGAGCTGCTACATTTGTACTTCTGTTCAAGTTCTGTCTTTTAGATCATTTTGTGGTAGCCGGGTCTTTAGGACTGGACCACTCGTACATACAGGGGTTAAAATTGGGGTTAAAGGTGGTTAAAAATAGCTGTATGAAACAACATGAACAAAATAAAAGCCTTTCAATCTGTCACACAGACTTGCGGTGTAGCTTCGTTATTGTGCTTTCATTGGGGCAAAGCAACTTCTCCAGCGTCTGTCTGCTGTTCGCTGACTGGATTCTGACACACCAGTCTTTCTTCTGTTGCCGTGGCAATAGAGCGGCGTGACTAGGATGGCAGCGAATGTCTTGTATGTGCACGCACACGCGCAGCTTTTGTCCACTGAAAGCCTCAGCGGCTTCATGCATGTCACAAGCTGTCCAACTAAATGCTCACTGGTGTTAAAATGGATCATCAGGTTTGGCTCAGTGCCGGGGGAAAATAAAACTACCCAGGCTCGGATGGAGCTGCAGGCCAGACCCGGCCATAAAGGCTAATGCCGAGCTCCACCCTGCTACATCTGAGGACACAGCGCTTCCTGGCTTTAGAGGAACACAATCTGATGGTTTTGTGGTGACAGCAGACACAGAGCAGCATATTGAACACGAGGTAGTGTTTCTCTCTCACCGTGAATCTGCCTTTGCCCAGCCTGATTCAAAATGTTTAATTCAGCTTTATTATGTCTCCCTTATCATCAGTTTTATAAATAGAATGGATTTTATTGTTGTTGTAGAATCAAAACATTTCATTCTGCAGCTTTTCAAGTATGATACTTAGCATTAGGCAGAAATATATAAGATTATTCATACTAGCTAAGTTTAAAAACGTTTTGGCTTTTAATAGTCCTGGAAGGAATTTTGCAAAAGTAGTGATACTGATTGAATGAGCTAATTTGAAAAACCTAGGCTTGATATACTCAGAAAAAAAGGGCACTGTACAGGTATGTTTGGTCCCTTAAAGTATAAATAATACTGTACCCTTAAAGGTTTATAAGATCCAATTGTGTGCCTCAAATAAGTATAAAAAGGGAACTGCATGCATTTTCACACACACGTGTACCCTGTCATAAGTCAGTGCAGCTTAAAAATTATAATAAAAGAAAAGTAAGAATGATTACCATGGAATATTGTACCCTGACTAAGTATACTGAAAATGTACAGTTGAATGCAAAACTTTGAACACATTTTGCTGAATTTCTCAGTCAAAATAACACACCCAAGAACAAACCAAGCATGTCACATTTTAATGCACAATTTCTATTTTCTATTTCTATTCTATATATATTTCTATTTAGTATAACACATTGAAAATAAATAAATAATAAAATGCTTTTTGTGGAGGCCATATTTATAGTTCATATTTTTTCACTATGCTAAATTCAGCAAATAAACATTAATTGTGCATGAACTTGTGCAGTGTGTTCTCTGTAGAGAATGTGTTAACTTATTTACACTTTGATTGATGAAACATGTAATTTGACCTGGGCACCCAAACTTTCACATGCAACTGTATATTTGAGAATAGCACCCCAATGACAGCATCTGTAGAGTTTAGTATCTTTAAGAAGTTTAGTACCTTTCTTTCTGTGATCGAATATAAAACTAGGCTGCTTCTTTAAATATTGCCTTGCATGTTGGTTGTGAAGTGGCTAATATTAAATACATCAGAAGTGCATATAGCATATTTACTGTATGTGAATTGGGATGTGATGAGCTCTCAGTGGTCACTAATTGCTCTCCTTGTCATACAACTTTTGTCCAGTCCTAGACTTGATATATTTAAACATTTCATTTTATTTTACTTTATTTATGTATATATATTTTTTAAGAAATGCAGCTTTATTTTTAATCATTTTAAACCTTTTTTCTCTAATGTGTTTATAGTGGACTCTTCTTTTGACCACTTGTAGTCCAACTCTATTTAATATATTTAAGCTTCTTTTTCTTTTCTTTTCTTTTCTTTTCTGAAGCTCCACAGTGCTCAGGCTTGTTAACAGGTTCGTTAAGTGGAGCTGTACAGACTCAAAAGCCAATTAAAGCTCTCTTGTAGAAACAGAACTGTCTGCATCTCTCTCTCTCTCTCTCTCTCTCTCTCTCTCTCTCTCTCTCTCTCTCTCTCACATTCCCTTATTCTGACCCATCTGTGTCCTCATCTCCTGCTCTCTCACTGCAGTTTTTGATTCTTTTGGTTCTTCTTTTGTCGAGGGTTTCTCAGAAAGCCAAGCTTTTTCATAAATGAGTCACAGGAAAAGATTGTTAGAAGTCACCAAACCTGCTCCCCCTGTTACTGGCTGACACTGATTATTCTCATGTTTGCAAAAAAACTTAGTAAATAGAAATTAAGCACTAAAATGTGTTTATTATGTAAGTGTGTTCTCTGTAGAGGATGTCAGTTTATTTTCACAGAACATGAACATGTAGTCACATCAAGGATGTTTAAACTTTTGCGTATGACTGCTTATACACTAACCAAGCACTTTATTAGGAACACCTGTACACCTACTCATTCATGCAATTATCTTAACAGTCAATAATGTGGCTGCAGTGCATAAAATAATGCAGATATATTCCAGCGACTTCAGGTAATGTTCACATCAACCATCAAAATGTGGAAAAGGTTCTGCAGATGGAAATGCCTCTCTTGATGAGAGAGGTCAACAGAGAATGGCCAGACTGGTTCAATTTGACTGTAAGGCTATGGTAACTCAGATAACTACTCTGTGCAATTGTAGTGAGCAGAAAAGCATCTCAGAATGCACAACTCATTGAACCTTGAGGTGGATGGGCTACAACAGCAGAAGATCATGTCAGGTTCCACTTCTGTCAACCAAGAACAGAAAGCTGTGGCTGCAGTGGGCACAGGCTCAGACTGGTGATGAATCTCGATTTCTGCTGAGGCACACAGATGATACCATCAGAATTTGGTGCAAACATCATGAATCCATGGATCCAACCTGTCCTGTGTCAACAACCCAGGCTGCTGGAGGTGGTGTAGGGAATATTTTATTGGCACACTTTGAGATCACTGATACCAATCAATCATTATTTGAATGCCACAGTCTATTTGACTGTTGTTGCTGACCATGTGCATCTCTTCATGGCCACAATTTAGTATCTTCCAATGGCTCCTTCCAGCATGATAATGCAAAGTAAGTCATCTCAAACCGGTTTTGTGAACATGATAATGACTTCAGTGTTTGGGATCCAATAGGACACCTTTGGGATGTGGTAGAATGGGAGATTCACAGCATGAAAGTGCACCTGAAAAATCATGTAAAAAAAAATAAATCAAATTATCAAAACATCTTGTGGGAGCCATGCCATGGAGAAAAGAGGCTGTTTTGAGAGCAAAGGGAAGCCCTACTCAGTATAAGTATAGTGTTCCTAATGAAGTGCACAGTGACTGTAAATGTTAGTACCTATATGTAATAATATGTCTGATATGTATTATATACACATAAGT